GAGAGAACAGCTCTTGTCAGGAGTATCAAACATACGAATTCCACTAGTAGAAAACACCATCAAAGATTGCCAAAATAATATATTAAACAATTATAAAGCTGGTGGTGTCATATATTGTTTCGGTAACATCTGATGCTGTTTTCTACTAGTGGAATTTGTACGTTTGGGACTCCTGTGACACGAGTCTTTTCCCCTTGTCGTCTGGATTTACTGCTGGTCAGAACTACGGCTTGCCCAAGGTCATCCAGCCAGCTGCAAGTGGAGGAGTGGGGAATCAAACCCGGTTCTCCCGGATTAGAGCCCGCCGCACTTAACCGCGACACCAAATCTGGCAGAACAGCCTCATCTGCAGCTGTCGTGCACCGCGGGAGCATCTGCCCAGTCCCACACCGCTGGCTCTCCAGTCCACCGATAAGGGTTCCCTTTGCACACACACCCCCCCAGCTCACGGGGCCTTGCAGTGAGGACAGAGACACCAACTCGGAGCTTACCAGCTGCTGTTCGTTATACAGGTTACATCTCGGGAACCGGGCATTACGTTTCATGGCACACGTGGCCCAACCCGACAAAGTGACATTTACGCGGATCTGAGCCTCGTAACAAATGAGTTCGACACCTCTGACTTATGAAGTCCAGGGTTCCTACGCAGAGGCAGGCAATGGCACACCACCTCTGTCTGTCTCTTGCCTTGACCTCGGTGGCCCAGGATAGCCCAACCTCATCAGATCTCAGCAGGGCTATTTTTGGGCAGGAACGCACAGGAACAGAGTTCTGGCTGGCTCCTGAGTTGGCCACGCCCAGCAGGAACTCATTAGCATAACAGGCCACACCCAACAGCAGAAACCCATTAGGATTGGCTACATTAGGGGTGTGTGGCCTAACATGCAAAGGAGTTCCTGCTACAAAAAAGGCCCTGGGTTTGGACAACAAATAAGGTAAACAGAATAAGAAGCAAAAGGTGGGTGTGGCTGGATGACAACACTTCTGATAACATGGGGGAGTGGCCTAATATGCTAATGAGCAGTGCAGTCAGGGGTGTGGCCTAATATGCTAATGGGTTTCTGCTTCTGGGTGTGGCCTATTATGCGAATGAGCTCCTGCTGGACGTTTTCTACAAAAAAAGCCCTGGATCTCAGAACCTAAGCAGAGTCGGCCCCGGTTAGTACATGAATGGTAGACCCACCAAAGAAGTCTGTGGTTCCCACGCAGAGGCAGGCAATGGCAAACCACCTCTGTTTGTCTCTTGCCTTGAAAACTCTACGGGGTTGCCATATATCGGCCGTGCCTTGATGGCACTTTCCACCATCACCAACGGTTACCGATACCGGCATCTTAAGAACCCCGTCTCCTCCCTGCCTGTATTTATAGAGGTTTACCTGAGTAATGATAGTTAGCCAGAGGGTGGCAAGGAGGCTTCTGCGGTCCCTGGAGCAACAGCATTTCCAGCGCCTCCTGAAACGGTTTCAGAAAAAGCGTCTTAAAACTCTCTCCAAGGAAAAACAAACAGGAGAAGACTGGGGGTCAGGGGAGTGGGGCGGAAGGCTTAGGAGAACATGTGGGCTAACTGCATTTGGAGAGAGCTGGTCTCCTTAGGTGACTCCTCGCCACAGGGCGATTCTGCATCGGCTTTTCCCTCCAAACTCACGCTGGGACAGAAATTCCCCTCTGCACTACATGCTCCTTTTGATCATCGGGTTTTATGGTTCCCTCTGCACTGCATGCCGCTTTCGCTTTCTTCGATCGTCGGGTTTTATGGTACCTTCTGCATAGATATATGGTCACCTTCACTTCATTGGGTTTTATGGTTCCCTCTGCATTGCATGCCAATTTCGCTTACTTCGATCATCGGATTTTAGGGTACCCTCTGCATTGCATGATGCTTTCGCTTCATTTGATCATTAATTTATTTTATGGTATCCTCTACACTGCATGCTGCTTTCACTTTCTTTGATCATTGGGTTTTATGGTATCCTCTACATTGCATGCCGCTTTCGCTTCCTTCGATCACCGGGTTTTATGGTAACCCCTTCATCACATGCCGCTTTCGCTTCCTTTGATCATCGGATTTTAGGGTACCCTCTACACTGCATGCTGCTTTCGCTTTCTTAGATCATCGGGTTTTATGGTACCCTCTACACTGCATGCCGCTTTCATGTTCTTTGATCATCGGGTTTTATGGTACCTTCTGCACTGCATGCTGCTTTCACTTCCTTCATTCGTCGGGTTTTATGGTACCTTCTGCATAGATTTATGGCCGCTCAGGGGCGACTTCTGCAGTCAGTACAGCGTTGCCCCTGGGGTATGTGAATGTGGTTTTGAGCTGCCCCTTTTTCCTCAGTGTTGAGGAAATGTGGAGCGAAGGCCAGATGCAGAATCGCCCACAGTCTAGGGGAAGTGTTTTAGAGGAGGCAGAACTTTTTCTTCCGCACAAGATGCAGAAAAAGGACTCCTGCTTCCTCACCACGTGCTCGTACTGCCCCAGGAGCGTAGACTGGTGAGGCACAGACAATCTTATGCTGATGGTTCCTTAAGCCCCTGGGCCAATGTGGGCACAGGAGGACTGTGCCAGCCTGCAGTATGGACCTCGTGGCTTGGTTGCGTGCCATTACGCCACCCTCTCTGATGGGCCAATGTTAAATGGCAGGCAGCCTCAGTGCCGGAAAATGAGAGCTGTCGATGGATTAGGATTATTTTCCTTATAACGGGCTTCTTCAAAAACTGACTTAGGAGATCAGTTGCCTGAATTACGTCTGCAGATTCGGGATTTTCAAGAAGGCATCTCCTAGGAGTGCTAGCTGACAATTTAATAAATAAAAGCAGCCTCCCTCGTTTCCGTCAAACTTGGCAACATGAGATATTTATTCTCTAACTATTTATTTATAATATTTCTATGCTGCTTCATCAGAGTCCTGCTCAAGAGAAAGAAGAAGGGATTGGATTTATACCCCGCCCTTCACTACCCGAAGGAGTCTCAGAGCGGCTTACAATCTCCCTTCCCTTCCCCCTCCCCACAGCAGACACCCTGTGAGGTAGGTGGGGCTGAGAGAACTCTTGACAGAAACTGCCCTTGAAAGAACAGCTCTGAGAGAACTTGTGAGTGACCTGAGGTCACACCAGCAGCTGCATGTGGAGGAGTGGGGAATCAAACCCGGTTCTCCCAGATTAGAGTCTGTGCTCTTAACCACTACACCAAACTGGCTCCCAAGGTGGCTTACAATTAAAAACCAGAGTGTGTGTGTGTGTGTGTGTGTATAAACAGCATAAAAACTTAACACACAAAAACAATTACACATCACTAAGAAAACAGAAAAAACCCACACAATCAAGTTCAAGACCCATCAGTACTGTGGAGGGTACAAATTTAAAAGATAACTCAGCATGTATTTCAACTCAATATTGCCAGCTTCCCTGGCTCTTACTGGTAGAAAGGAAACTATGGTTTGCTCTTCGGTCGGTTTCATATTCCTCACATTTGGCTAGAAGAGGAGGAGATATTACATGTCCCCCCCCTCCCCTCCCCAATATAATTATCCTGATTATTCTTTCAAAGCCTGCATATTTAAAACAAATGCCGTGAAGCTCGAAAAACAGTTCCCGCAGAAGAATCCAATATTCTCAACAGCTTGATGGAAAACAAAGGTTTGGGCTATTGTGCCTAAGACTAAAGTTTAACACCCTACCAAAATATTTCCTTGGGCCTCGTGAAGACAGTGCACAGCTAGTTCGAGGTTGGTCCCTCCCCCAGGCATCGCACTGGAGCAGGCCAATTTTAATAGGTCCGTTACTGCGAGATTAAAGAAACGACAAAAATTATGGCATTAACAACTCTGCACGGGAAGTTTAAAAATGGCAATAGTACAGAAGGAAAATGAGGGCTCTCCTGCATTCTCATGTCCCATGCTTGTGTGTTCCTGTTGCTTGGGGGTGTGTGTGTGTGAAGTGTTCTGCTCCACAAGAGTTTTGCTCCCTCTAGTGGTTAATTCTATATTATATCTCTTTATGTCCGGCATATCTCCCTGTAGATATAAACTGCATGTTGTAAGTTAATCTCCAGCAGGTAGATCAGTATGATCTAAGCTGACAGCTACCTGTCAGCAGGTGGAGTGATAAAGCTAGTTCCAACCGGTTTTGACTGGCATTGGACAGTGTGTAGTCACCATGACTCAGCTTGAATCTGATTGGTGGAACTATGTATATACAAGTCTTGTTCAGTTGCCATGCATTTTTCTTCTGTCTGAAACAAGTGCCTGGCAAAGCAGTTTGATTGTGGATATTGTGAATAAACCCTTGTACATAGTGTACCACTGGACTGTTTCAGTGTGGTTACTATAAGGGGCTTCACAGCAAGAACTGCAATGAAGAGCTGGGAGGCTGGAAAGTCCTTAAGGGTGCTGGCTTGAATAAGTGCTGGTATTGGACCGTTACACACGCTTAGCGCAACACTGCAGGTTTTAACGCCGGAGAAAAGGCCATGTAATATCAAATCGACCACTACAGGCAGCAAAACAGATGTGGAACAGGAAACCCACCCGAAGCGACAGGGATACACAAACCAAGAAAATGCGAATGCAGAAAAGCCCAAGGCTGCAATAATTGGGAAGGAGCGGGGGTGGTGGTGAATCTTAGGGGGTGAAAGATGTCAGCGTGCCTCTTTTTTGTGTTTCCTTGTTGGTTGTGATGTCTCCCCATGGCTTCCACACTAATGAGCCCGGATGTTCATAATTGTCCAAGGACGACCTGTCTTGCAGGTCAGGTATCTCTGCCTGAAAACGACTTCCAATGTTGATATGCCTGAAATAACAGGAGGGAGGGACGAGAAAATATTAACTGACAAGTCAACAGGATGACATTTGAGGAAAGGGAGACTCAAAACAAACCGGTAAAGAACATTCATTGGGATACGCTTTCAAGTTAAGAAGTTTCTACGTTAAAGGGAGCCCTGTGAAGCCGAAAACAGACCGCCTCTGTGAAGTCTGGAACGAAACAACACCAAACTGGCCCACTGAGCAAGAAGAGAAGTAAAAGAACATTTTCACACATGGGGCTCATTTTCACCATGGTGTCCTCATGCAAGCGATTCTGCACTAAAATCAAATTCAACCTTCTTTTTAATCCAGGTTTCCCCCCCACCCCCATCCCGCACTAAAATCGAGTTCAACCTTCTTTTCCCCCCAGGTTCCTACGCCGCCGCCCCCCCCATTCTGCAGGACATTTCCTCCCTTCAGTGGTCAGCCCAGTTTCAGCCTGCTGTCGCCCCGGGTTATTTGGATGCTGTTTTGCTGCGGACTTAAATTGAACACTGAGCAAATCCACAGTGGCAGGGAAATGCAGGAAGGACCACTGAGTTTGCTAGACCTCAGGGCAGTTTTACTCTGGATCTCCTACAGTCTAAAGAGATGCTCAAAAGGAAAAGATGAGGGCGAGACTTTGCCACATGAGTAGACAGAGCTGGCTAGGGAATTTCTGACTGATCGCCACCCCTATATCTTCTCAGTGTGACGTACTCTGCCTCTCTGGCATATTCAGAAATGTTTGAAAAAAGAAACTGCTTCCCTCAGAAATGATATTGACTGGACTGGAATCTATACACTGCCTGGTCTCATCCGTTTAACCACTCTGACCGCCCCCATGTCTTTTCTGTCTGATCTTAGATATTAAATTGACTGGACCAGAATCTATACACGCACGCGCACATGAACGCTGCCGTATAGGGAATCAGATCCTCGGTCCATCAAGGTCAGTGTTGTCTACTCAGAGACCAGCAGCTGCTCTCCAGGGTCTCAGGCGGAGGTCTGGCCTTTTTTAACTGGAGATGCTGGGGACTGAACTTGGGACCTTCTGCATGCCAAGCAGAGGCTCTTCCACTGAGTCACGGCCCCTCTTTACAGCTCTCCAGGGTCTCCCCAGGCCTCAGCTGGAGGTCTTTCCCATCACCTCCTGCCTGGTCCTTTCACCTGGAGACATCGGGGATTGAACCTGGAACTTTCTATATGCCAAGCAGAGGCTCTACTACTGAGCCTACGGAGCCATGGACCCTCCCATGAACAGATGAAACTGCCTTATAATGAATCCCTTTGTCCATCAAGGCCAGTATTGTCTACTCAGACTGGCAGCGGCTCTCCAGGGTCTCAGGCGGAGGTCTTTCCCATCACCTACTGCTTGATTCTTTTTTAAGTGGAGATGCCGGGGACTGAACCTGGGACCTTCTGCATACCAAGCAGAGGCTCTTCCACTAAGCTGTTATATTTCACTGCTCTGTTGATTGGCGCTGGAGTGACGAAATGGCTGTAGCGGAGCGGAGAAGAATAAACCCCCCCCACACACACTTACGCACACACAAGCAAGCAGGCTCCAACAAAGCCCTTCCCTACCACTTCTCTGCATCTATCAAGCTACAGTAGTTTAACTGTCCCTCAATGGCCCACGGTGGCCCATGATTGTGTTTTAAGCCACTTTTCAACATTTTATCTTCCTGGTGCCAGACCTCGCTGCAGGTCGTTCCTTTTAAACCGGGAATTTTTAACCCGTAGGCTGCAACGACCTGACCTATGGAAGCTGCCTTGCACTGAATCAGACCCTCGGTCCATCAGATTCAGAACTGTCTGCTGAGACTGGCAGCCACTCTCCAAGGTCTCAGGTGGTCTTTCTGTTATGTATTGAGCCTAAGCCAGGGATCATTTCCTGCGGGAGCGCACAGGAGTGGAGCTCCGGCAGTAAGGAGCTCAGGGGGCGGGCACATGCAACAAGCCCCGCCCCCTGCTCCCAGCAGCCCTCAGTCGGGCCACAAGGAGCAAGAAACAGCCAGGTAAGTTGCAGAGCCCCCCCCCCGGCCCGCCTGGGTGTTGCCTTCTGACACACTTCCGGTGATGTCAGGGGGTGTGGCATATGCAAATGAGTTATGGTAATGAGGTATGCTGATGAGCTCCTGCCCCTCTTTTTCTACTAAATGACCCCTGACAGCCACAAACCACTTCCCTGGCAGCGTATGAACGCCACATCCTAACAACCGTCCATTTAGTCAGTTTGAGTATCCCGCCTTTTATTTCCACACACACACACACACACAGACACACTGCTTGTTTAGAATGGGAGACATCCAAAGCCCTGGCAGCTTTAGAAAGCGTTATCCAACAAAGCTGATGGGCAGCAGATGTAGGACAGGGAAAAAAGAAATGCTACTTGACACAGTGAGTGACTAAGATGTGGAATTTGCTGCCAGAGGATGTTGTGAGGGCCACAGGAACAAGCAGCTTTAAAAGGGGATTAGATAAGATTCATGGAGGAGAGGTCCATCAGTGGCTACTGTGAGACAGGATGCTGGACAAGGCCAACCACTGGTCTGATCCAACAGGGCTCTTCTGAGGTTCTTATCAGGGGAAAGCCTCGGCCTCTGTGCCCTGTTGTTGGCCCTCCAGAGGAACTGGCTGGCCCCTGTGTGAGACAGGATGCTGGACTAGAGGGACCCTCACTGGTCTGATCCAGCCGGGCTCTTCTGAGGTTCTTCTCAGGGGAAGGCCTCGGCCTCTCTGCCCTGTTGTGGGCCCTCCAGAGGAACTGGTTGGCCCCTGTGTGAGACAGGATGCTGGACTAGATGGACCACTGGTCTGATCCAGCAGGGCTCTTCTGGTGTTCTTATCAGGGGAAGGCCTCGGCCTCTATGCCCTGTTCTTAGACCTCTAAAGGTTGGCCATTGTGTGAGACAGGATGCTGGACTGGACCACCGGTCTGATCCAGCAGGGCTCTTCTTAGGTTCTTATTGGGGAAAAGCCTTGGCCTCTATGCCCTGTTCTTGGACCTCTAGAAGAACTGTTTGGCCGCTTTGTGAGACAGGTTGCTGGACTGGATGGACCCTCACTGGCCTGATCCAACAAGGTTCTTCTGAGGTTCTTATCAGGGGAAGTCCTCGGCCTTTGTGCCCTGTTTGTTGGCCCTCCAGAGGAACGGGTCGGCCACTGTGCGTGACAAGATGCTGGACTGGATGGACCCTCACTGGTCTGATCCAGCTGGGCTCCTCTGATGCTCTTATCTTACAGAGAAGTTGAGCATCCAGGAAACCAAAGACCTCCACATCTAGGTAAGTTATTACTCTATTCTTTCTATCATGGCTTATCACCTCCTCACTTACGGTTCAACACTGATTTTGGTGGTATCTTTCACAAGAGAGAACAAAAGGGCTCCGTCCATGCCATCTGAAATTTAACACAAACAGCAATAAAAATATTCGAAAGGCAGTGAAAAGCGGCAGAGTGTCCCCTGGGCTCTTCCTCTCGACCGCCTGTTGCTCCTTCCCCTTTAAGAGCCTCAGTACCCTGTGCTCACAGTTTGGAACTTCCCTTTGCCCTAAGGTGGAACTGATCGGGAAAGCAGGGGGGGGGGTGTCCCTAAAGCCATCAGACTGCAGCCTCCAGAAATGCATTTTCAATCCCCTTTTCTGCCCACAACTCACTTGCTGCGATCCTGAACAATGAGGCAGTCGTAACTTTTAATCCCCCCCCCAATAATCTAAAAACAGGGGGAGAAACAACATTTGGGGAGCTTGCGTTCCCCCCCCCCAGCACCGTCGCCTTTTCCGTACAAGAAGAGAGGCAAAGAGAAGAGATTGGATTTATACCCCGCCCTTCACTACCCGAAGGCGTCTCAGAGCCACTTGCAAACTCCGTTCCCTTTCCCTCTCCACAACAGACACCCTGTGAGCAGTGTTCCCTCTAAGCTGAGTTAGTGTGAGCTAGCTCACAGTTTTTTAGCCTCTGGCTCACACATTTTTGTCTCCGCTCAGGAAAGATGGCTCCAGAGCAAACTAATTTATGCAGTAGCCAAATCACTTGCTCACAACTTCAGTGCCAGTAGCTCATAAAGTAGAATTTTTGCTCACAAGACTCCACAGCTTAGAGGGAACATTGCCTGTGAGCAGCGCTCCATCTGAGCTGTGGAGTCTTGTGAGCAAAAATTCTACTTTGTGAGCTCCTGGCATTAAAGTTGTGAGCCGGCGGTTTGCCTGCTGCGTAAATGTTTCCTCTGGAGCCCTCCTTCCTGAGCTGAGACAAAAGTGTGTGAGCCGGAGGCCAAAAAAGTGTGAGCTAGCTCACACTGACTCAGCTTAGAGGTAACACTGCCTGTGAGGTAGGTGGGGCTGAGAGAGCTCTTTCAAGAACTGCTCTTGAGAGTCCCCACACTTAACCACTATGAAGAAGAGGAGGAGGAGGAGGAGGAGGAGGAGGAAGAGATTGGATTTATACCCCGCCCTTCACTACCCAAAGGTGTCTCAGAGCGGCTCACAAACTCCTTTCCCTTCCCCTCCCCACAGCAGACACCCTGTGAGGTAGGCGGGGCTGAGAGAGCTCTGACAGAAACTGCTCTTTTTTCAAGGACAGCTCTTGTCAGAACTACGGCTTGCCCAAGGTCATCCAGCCAGGTGCAAGTGGAGGAGTGGGGAATCAAACCCGGTTCTCCCAGATTAGAGTCCGCGCACTTAACCACCACACCAAACTGGCTCACGGAATAAATCAAAGCGAAGGCTCAGAGATCCCTACTTGGGATGGTCCATCTCGGCCCCCTTTCAGAATCCCTGGAAAGAGAAGTGACGGGCAGGGATGGAGCCCACCCGAGAGGGGGCCCAGTCACCCCTCCGGCAGAGATGGCCAACAGGAATGAGGCCCCGGGCAACGAGTGCTGGACCTGGAGTGTGCAACCGAGCCCACAAAATGTGCAGCATAAATAAAAAATCATATAAAAATCATCAGCGCTTGGCCGGTCAGGAAGGCACACGTCAAGCCAGTAAGCCTCCATGCTGATTTTTACAAGCAGGACTAAATTGTTGTCGAAGGCTTTCACGGCCGGAGTTCATTAGTTGCTGTAGATTTTCCGGGTTGTGTGGCCGCGGTCCTGGCATTGTAGGACCTGATGTTTCGCCAGCCGCTGTGGCTGGCATCCTCAGAGGTATCACACAGAAAGACGGA